GAGGGAGGTATGAACAAATCACCAAGACTATAGGGGGCTATCGTCTCCATCTAGGAAGAGCAGGTGCAGTCATCATTAGACCACAGGGCCATTTGAAATTTGGAAACTTTTAAATTGTGCCTTCATACTGCTGCAGGTGAGAAAACCTTCACCTTGAGGTTGGATGGAGCCGGCTTCACGGATGTGGAATTCTGCAAAGCCATGCGGGACCTCATGCTCAGACGGGCCCTGTGTTTGGTTTCATGCTTGGCTGTCACCAACTTGAAATTCTTAATAATTTTTTAAAGTCCAGGCTTTTTGAGAATCTCTATTCTATTAGCCAGATGGGCAGTCTGTTTCCAAAGGAGATGGGAAAAATAGGAAAAAGGAAGAGATAAGGCTACTGCTATGTAGTCTGTTCCTCATCACCTTTCTCCTCAATGCAAGATAAAGAAAAAGGCAGATGTGCCTTAATTGTCAAGAAGCAAAGAGTATGTTACAATTGCCAAAGGTTCATCTTTTATATATTTGGTCTTGGCATCTATTTGTTTAATTATTATCTTTAAGAGGTTTTTAGGAGGGGTTGCTACAATAAATTCTTAAGTCAGCGTTCCGCTAGTTTATACAAATATTGTCTCTGAGCGTACGTGATCACACAAACAGCTGTCTGTGAATGTATAGCTGTGTAGACATTACAGTCGAGCCTTGAGTCATTTGATTTTTTAAAGTTGAGAGTCGTTTATTCATTTATGCATTCATTGAATGTTTTAATATGTTCAACAAACAAACTATAAACAATAGATCCTTTATGCCACTGGCTATAAAACTATAACAGTAATACAACGATATCCAGCTCTATGTATTTTATGAGCTAGTAATTTAAAGTTGTATAATCCTGTAAACAATTACAGTAAATTGTGTAAGTTATTTCTCTCTTGCTTTGGCTAAGTAAATGCCTTATTACCTTGACTAGAGGCCCAGTGCACAAAATTTGTACACTGGGGAGGGGGTCCCCTCAGACCAGCCTGTGCCCTCTTGCAGTCTGGGAGCCCTCAGGGGATGTCCGACTGCCGGCAGTTGGACATCCTTAGCACTGCCACAGAGGTGGGAGAGGCTCCCACCACTGCCACTGCACTTGCCAGCCGTGAGCCCAGCTTCTGGCTGAGTGGTGTTTCCTCTGTGGGAGCGCACTGACCACCAGGGGGCAGCTCCTGCATTGAGCATCTGCCCCCTGGTGGTCAGTGCGTGTCACAGCAACCAGTTGTTCTGCCGTTCAGTCAATTTTGCATATTAGCCTTTTGTTATATAGGATAATATGGAATGGATTAGTTGCCTTCTTGCTATTCAATATAATGTTTGCTACTATTCTTAATTGTTGCTCAATAATTTTACTTTTCAGAGGATCTTTACATATTTTTGTTTGAGCTATGAGGGAAGGCACATGGGAAACTCAATATAAGAGTTCATCCTATTTAGGTAAATAGAAATCCTCCAAGAAAACTTAAGTTCTCTTTTGTTGTTTTGTGGCTTTTTTGCTGAAATCATCCACAGCATGCTTTACTAATTAAATGACAGCTACTAAGCTTCTTCAGTCATGTGATTCCTTCCCCCAATTTCACAGCAGCATTGGATTTTTCTTGGCAATTGTGTAGTACCTTGTTTTTAACCTCTTAAGTACGGTATTATTTTTGTGTGGTCTGCCTCATTTCCTCCACTGGAGACTAGGTGTCTCCTCATCTAGAGAGGGCCATGACCATGAGAATCAGAAGAGGCGATGTAGCTCAGATCTGGGCAGCCACAGTGGCCTAGGATAGACAAAGGGAAACATGGTCAGAGCTGAAATGTGTTGAAAGTAAAGATATCACCATTTCTGGATGGATTAGCTGTGGAGTATGAGAAAAAGAAAGGAGATCAAGGTGCCACCAACTTTTCATTTTGGCCTCAACAATTGGAAGGATCAGGTTGCCATTCTATGAGTTTGGGAAGAACAGGGAGGAAAATCAAGAGTTCAGGGTTAGACGTTGATGCACCTTTTAAACATTCAGGTATAGATAAATGAGAGAAGCGGTCAAGAGGTTGAAGGTCACTTTGATATTGAATAGTTAGGAGATAAGGAGAATTCAACAAAGGAGACTGGTAATGAAGGTCAGTGAGTCAGGAGAAGAACTGAGAAAATAAAAGGGTTTCTTGTGGCAAAGGAAGGAGGAAGTGATCAACTATGTCCAGTACTGGCGATTGGTTGAGTAAGACGAGGCCTATCACCTACTGAACATAACAAGGTGTTCTTAAAAGAGGAGTTGCAGGGATGTGGTGGGAGGGACACCTGATAGAGAAGAATCAGGGACTAGTGAGGAAAGATACAGAGAGAGAGTAAAGGCAACTTTTGGAGAAATTTTTGCTATGAAGGGGGAAAATGGGACAAGAACTGGGGGATACATGAAGATAATTTTTTTCTTAATATGAGAGCTACATTAGCATATTTGGATTCATTATGGGGATGATCCAATTGGCTGGGAAATTTAAGGCTCAAGAAAGAGTGGGCAACTATAGTAGTGATGTCCTTAAGCAGGTGAGGGACAACCTGGACTAACACCAGAGTCAGGACAGGGCATCCTGGGTAACAGGGGAGTGTGGTGGTACAGGAACAGAATTAGGTTTGACAGAGATTGTCTAAATTCTTTTGTTTGTAGAAAGGTAAATTTGATAATTTTTTTCCTGGAGATCTGGGGAAACCTGACATCTTGGTTGGTTTTGCTTGTTCAACAGTAATGACACTTTGATCTTCACAGTCTAATTTTTTTTTTCTTAAATGCATCCTCCTCTTCACAGCAACATTTAAAAATGTTTTATAGTAAAACCACAAGCCATGCATGGCTTAAGTTCTACAATCTGTCTATAAGATGAAAGTAGAATATATTTTAATTCCCTTTGAAAAGTTGTTAAACCACTGTTAAATCACCAGAATATAAGTCCTTGAAATCCCCAAAGCAAGAACCAACATTTAATTTACTTTGCATTCCCATTAGGGACCACTCTCCCCTGTGGCAGTAGGAGTCAGAATCTAGTTTGAATGGGGGGAGTGGGTGGTCTTAGGAAGAGGAGAAAAGTGAGTGGATTTCTTTATCACACTTACACTTGAATATGCTTTCCACACATGTATGTGCGATGCAATGCCACTGCTGTAATACCATCCCGCCTCGTGAGTCTTAGCTCCCTGAAACTCTTATGCAGTCCCTGTGTTTTCCTTCGTGTACGTGTGATGCACTCCGTTATTTTCTCCCCTACACGATCTCTCCATTCCTACTGCAAACAGAAAATAACAATCCAAAGTGTTGCGTTTGAGATAATATGTTCACTGAAGGAGAAATTTGAGTTGAGAAATCAGTGACCATCAAGAGGATCTTCTAAATGTAAAACTTCTCTCACAATTCTAGTTTGATTGTGAAAAAAACATGTGTCTGTGTACTTCATAGCACATGAAGACATTTACAGAAACACTGCAACAATCTCAAATAAGGAAAGCATGCTATGTGTTCAAAATGTGTGAAATGTTATAACACAATTGAATACACATGATTCCAAGAACCGTTGTATGATTTAGCTGCAAAAATAAGAAAACCAAAGACGAAAAAGGTCCTCAGAACTAGAAATCCCTTAGGACCTCGACTTTAAGAAGGTTTTCATTGGTGACTAATATAATTTGGCAGTTGTCTATTTTAATGGTCCTACCTGTTTGCTATTTTTGGTTTGGGTTTTGGATGGGGGTGAGAGGAACAAAGACCCATCTATTAACATTTTAGTTCTTTCTGAGAGGCACCAAGATTCGTTTTGTTGTACAACACATGATGCTCACACCATGGAATCTTTTGTGTAAGCCATTATATTCCTGGATCCACTTACGCTAATAGTGAAGTGGAAACCATTTTTGCAGCATCCTGAGGAGTGGTCTGGTTTAATGGAGGTCCTTGAACAGCCGCCACCCGCCCAACTTTAATCGAGGTGGGATCCCACCAGACAGAGATAGAGCCAGAGGTTTCTATATTTAACTGGAAATCTGCTTTGCTTCTTGGGCACGAATGCCCAGTTCTGGTGGTAAAGAATTTTCCACAAGACTCATGGGGCAGAGACAAGCAGCTATTTATATTCATGCTTCAAGCTTGAAAGAAGAGAAGAGAGGAATAGTGAAGAAAAGAGAGAATCAGGAAGGGAGGCAAATATTTGCCCACGCCCAAAACATGGTGACATTTTGCAGTATTGAGATGCATTTTATTGGAGGTCCCAAGTTGTTCTGTTTTAAGCTCATTCACCTATGTGACTTGCACAGAGTCTTAATAATTTTTTGTTTTGGTGGGTGTTGTGTTTTTTTTTCAGTGAAAACATAGCTACATTATAAAGTGGTTAGAGGAATGTTTTGAGATAATGCATAGAAAAAATTCAGCAGAGTGCCTGGTGCCTAGAATGTGCCAGTAAATTATTGCTCTTATTTTAGCATCTTATAGGATCAGATTTAGCCTAAGTCTCTGCCCTTTTAAGGTTAAGTACTTTTTAACTTATATTATTTATATTTATTTATATAAAATCAATCCCTACTTCTGATGATATTTCTTTTTGTCTTATCTGCTGCTCATCCTGGTACACAGTTAACAGACACATTCTCTTTGGTTAAGACCTCATAACTTTCTTTCCTTCAATATAATGTAAAACATTTTTTTGTTTTATTAATGCAATTGTTTTTATTAAATGTATACCTAGAGTTGAGGGTTGTGGGCTTATGGCAAATGCTAAGTCAAGTTTCTCTATGTAACATTTATCTTAATCACAGTTTTGATGCTATGGCATACACATTTTTAAGTGGCATGGGAAAACTTTAAATCAACATACACCATACTTGGGAACAATGATGTGAACCAACTTTAAGGTCTAAATGTCATACAAATATCTTCACCATGTTCAGCAAGCTCTCTGGAATTCCAGGGCCTGACCTGCGTCTTGATCTCTGATTTGTGTCTTACGCTGTCCAGATTCTGATGCAAGGCAAAAACCCGGGCATAGCTTGGAAGTACGCGCTCCCCAAGGCCACCAATGGGACTCAGCCCGCTGGGAAGAGACACGCCCACACCTGGAGCACCCTGCAGACCCCGTGCTCCGCCTCCTGCGGTGGAGGTAAGGCGGCTTCTTACTCCACCTTCCAAGTCTCTTCTTAAAACAGGTCCTTCAAAGTGTGTTGTTTGAATAAACAACAAAATGTCTTTTATGGGAACCATCGCTGTAAGAAGCAAATATCATTGCACTGAGGATTTTCCTATGTAGAGAGGAAACAATTCTCACAAAACTCAAGTCAGCCACAACCCAGACTCAGAAGTTATACATCAGAAATGTATAGACAGAAAGAGAAAAAGAAAATCTATCTATTTATAAGAATATCTACACATATATCTGTATGTTTTTTAAATTTTTCAGCTTACACTTTAGTTTCTCCCTGCCCTGACTTTTCTGTTGTAGAAGGTGGGTCATGACAGGTGAGAACACAGCAAGGCAGATGGAGAGGCCCTGCAGTGTGGACACTGTGCCCTCCCCTCGGGGGGGCAGCAGTCTCATCAGGGAGGGGTTAGCTCTGAGAAACACCTTTGCAAGAGAGGAAGTGCAATAGTGATCCCCTCAGCAAGTAGAAGGCTGGCATTTTATTGGGAGCCAAAAACCTCATATATTTTTGTTTGTTAGTTAATCTTAGTCACACTTGGAAAAAGGAATGGAAAGTCCATAAATAGGTCCGTGAAACTGAGGCACGAAGGTGGGTTACTCACTTCCCCCTGTTCAGAGCACCTGGTGACAGTGGGTTGCCTAACTCTTCCATCCCCCTTAGCATACACCACAGACTGAGCAGAAACATAGAAAATGAAGAAATTCTCATGTCTGTAAGGCCTCTTCTTCAGGTGCTCATGCTAATTAACAAAATATGAGGAAATACTTCTTTTTTAAAAACATCAAATCACCCAAAGATAATGTTTTTGTTAATGAACATTTTAAAGGCAATATGCTATAAAGAAGAAAAATAATTTCCCATAATCCCTTAATCAATAGCCAATGTTAAATATTTTGCTCTATATCATTCAGTTTTTATTATGCAAACATAAAAATATGTGTGTTTGACCTCCTCAGACATATGCCATCTGTATCATCTTGTTTATTTTTAAAGAACAGAAACCATGCTAATAGACCAGCGATTTTCAACCTTTTTCATCTCATGGCACACATAAACTAATTACTAAAATACTGGGGCAAAAAAAATAGGTATAATTTTGATTCATTCACACTGGATGGCTATTGTTGTGTTGGCTGCTGTCATTTTCTTATTTGACAATTTAAGGAAAAGGAGGTCAGTGCCCTGATTAAATAGTCAGATATTGCATGTTTTTAAAATTATTGCAGAACACTGGTTGAAAGTCACTGCTGTAGACATAGCTTTACCCTTTTTTACTTAGTTTTGGAGCATGAGCAGTTTTTCACACATCAAATGTTCTTTGAGATTATTTGCAGTCACTTCCTGATATTGCAGAGAGAGCACAGTTCCTTGGGAAGCACAGAGATCCGATCCATTTTCCATTTCCAGGGAATGCATGCAGCCAAGGGGAGGATGCTGGAGAAGTGCATTCTGGGGTTCCCCCTTGCCTTGATCTAGCAACCCCTTCAGGTGACTCGCAGGCATGTTGTGTCCAAGGCATATGAGAAGAAGCGTTCAAATGAATAAGATCTCCGGAAGTAAACTCTTAACTTTAGGGAATCCCAATGTGGTTAAGTGCCACCTCAGGCAAATCTACTTCAACCTAATGGTAATAGCAGGGTGACTTTTCATGGCTCCTCCGATTCATTTGAAGGAGAAGCACTATATAAATAGGAACAAACAATTCAAAGAGGAGGCAGAATTCCTATTTGGGGAGCTGACAGATACAGCTATTCACAGAATGTACACCTCTGATGAGAAGCCCTGAAATGAGCATGGCAAGCAAGGCGTAGGATGGCACTGAAACAAACAAAACAATCAGAGTCCTAGCTGGCAGGTACAAATACACACATATTCAGTGGGCTGCACTTTTGTTTATATATGCATCACATGCGTATGGAAGTAGAAGGCGCTTCATGGAAAAGTAGAATCTTAGAGTTTCCACGCATAGCCCGCCAATGGCTTTTCATTGAGGAGCATTTCCATTTGATGTATGCAGGGAGAGTTACAGTTGGCGGGATATTTCCCTTACAACCGCCCTATTTTCAAGGGGCTGTATGTATCACTGTGTGGTTCTAGAACCCACAGCCGTCTTGAAAGTGAAGAAGCTACACGTTAACATGATTGAGACATGAAGACTATTATTTTGGGGGGAAATGGGATTCAAATTAGTTGCAGATTTCATCAAAAGGAGGCGGTCTCACCCAATATATGGATTCTGTATCCTAAATGCAGTATCAGAACCCTGGTAAATCAGAAGCTACATTTGGAAATGAAATTGAATTGGTTATCTGTAATTTTTACTATGTATCTTTTGATGTCTTGTTAGGTTACATAAGTGTAAAGGCCATTTGCTTACGAGATCAAAACACTCAAGTCAATTCCTCATTCTGCAACGCAAGGACCAAGCCAGCAACTGAACCCAAAGTATGCAATGCGTTCTCCTGCCCTGCCTAGTAAGTCATCTGGAAATGTCTTTCTGGTGATATTAGTTCTTTATATGTCTTCATTGTTGGTGTGAGATCATTAAAGCCCACATGTCAATGCTTCTGATCAAAAGTAATGGTAAGATAGATAGATAGATAGATAGATAGAAAGAATGCCCCAAAAATAGAAGAAAGAAGGTAGTTGAGGTTAAAATATAAAAATATGAAAAACACAAATTGGCTTTAGACATTCATTTAACTCTGTCTATGCAAACCTAACCTTGGGCTATAAAGGTGGTGTTTTTTTTAACCTTTACATACAGACTCCTCTGCACTAAATCAAACAGATATTTAAATAACCCAGATTCCTACATTAGTTAAGGTCACATGTGGTTGTGTGCTTAACTTCTATATAGTTGTCTAAGAATTTAGAAAGCAGACCATGAAACCCCAAATGCAAATTACACAGTAGCAAGACACAAAATAAAAAGAAAGGGGTAAGAGGCCAAGTGGTAATCCACTTCTGATGATGGTAACCTATGGGCAGCTCGGTGGGTTTGTTTTTGGATGGAGTTTAGCCACACTATTGTTTGAACAATAATTTTAAGTAATCTTCCCAGCCAAATGGAGTCTTTTCTTGTGTGATTTATCTTCTGCCAAATGTATTTATATAGAATTGACAGAGTTTCTTCCAAAGCAAGGTTGTGTTCACTAATGTTTCAGATCATCTTAATAAGTAGTGTTTGCTTTGTGGTAATGCTGTGAGTTTATACAATCTTTTTATACACATTCTGTCATCATCGCTTGGGGCTGTAGCTATCTACCAATCCCATATGCCCAATAGTCAGTTTTTCTCTTAGAATCTGGAACCAGCTGTATCCTAAACACAAAAAAGAGGAAGAAACTTGGGGGGCTTTTATGGATTTTCCACTTTTGCTAAGAAATATATGGATCTAAGAAATATGTGATTACCAGACAGTGTTATTGACCCTCATGGAGTAACCTCTCCTTTAGGTGGTAGGTGTGTGTGTGTATGTGCATGCATAGGAATTGCAAGCTGATGTTTCCTATTTTAAGCTGCCTTCCCATCATTGGTTATCTCAGCCAGCCAAAGAAAGGGACTCCATTTACATATACACCCATGAAAAGAGAGAGCCTAGCTCCTGTCCGACTCCTAAGCCTCCCCTGATGTCTCCATGTGGAAATGATACTCTGCAGTAGTGGGTTTACTGGCTATTTACAACTAGAAAAGTGCCTCACAATGACTGCCAGGGTGGAGCGGAGAAAGGGGCAGGATCTTTTGTTGCCTTCTTTTCTTCTTCACCCTATTATTTCTCATTATTTTCTGTTGTAATAATGGGGACTCTCAAGGACTATTCTTCACTAGGGGTCTACTAGAAATAAAGTTTAGACTCAGACTATTAGAGCTAGAAGGAGAAAGGAATTAACCTGAGCTAACTCCCTTATTTCCGCATGGAGCAATCATGTCACATATGTACTTTTTGTATGCCAGCTCTGAGTTGAGGACTGGGGTGTGGAAATGAGTAACTTGAAGCTCTTGCCATTAATGAACCCTCAGCCAAATGGAAGAGATGGAAGTGTAAAGAAGTAATTGAGATGCAGTGAGATACATGTATAAAAACAAGTTTACATAAAAAAGCAGTAAGGGAGACATGGAGGTTGTAGGGGTCTCGGCTCCGAGGTCGGGGTTGATAGGGAAGGAGGGTAGGTGAGAAGTAAGCCTGCAGCCCCGATGTGAGGAATCACGCATGTCACGCAAAGTGTCTATTTGTGTTATACTTCGTCTAATACTTTTACAAAACCATCTTTGCCACATAAAGGAAAGAGATTTTAATTTGGAAGACAATCAAATGCCATCTTGATAGACAACTGTTAAAGCTACTAATAGCAAAATATATATTTTCTTTACATCTTATAAGATACAAATAATTGTACAAACATAAGAAATTATTTGATACAATCTTTAACTAAATAAGATAGTATGGGCTATTTAATGTTTTAGAATGCATATAACCCTAGAATCCATGTGCTAAATTCCCTGGCCAAAAGGTCTTTAATTTCGCATGTCAGGCTTGTGGGGGAAACCAAAGAAAAAATCTATAGGACTAGGAAAGGTGAGAGAAATGCAAAGATATAACAACATATGTGTGACGTTGTGTTTCTTAAAATGATACCTAGAACCTTGGTAGAAGAAGCCGAGTTTTAGACATTGCTGCCGGGATTCAAATGTAGGTATTAAAATCATATCTGCTAGATCTTTTTTTATGCTAGGCCTTCAAATCATAGAATTTCAATTCATCAAAAGTAGCTGTTGAAAAGTATTAGTAAGTTCTGTTGATTACCCTTTAAACATAAAGCAAGTCTCAGACCACTGTGAAAAAGCTGGCCTGGTAATTTTTAAATAAAGATCAAGGTTCTGTCCCTAACCCATCAGTAAATTTTAAGACTAATCAGAAAAGTAGCTGGGGGACTTGCCTCCTTAGAAATTTCCTCTGTAAGAACTTCTCTGAATGTACCCCTGTCTCCTGCATGTGCACATGTGTGTACACACACACACACACACGCACCCAACCTCTCATTGATCCCTCTTCCATTACTCTCATTATTGTAGTTTATGTGTTAACGAATAGCATGGCAATTATCAGAAAGTATGGTCGGCATTTGTTCACATGTCTGCCTCTTCACTGAGTTGTAGGCTCCTTAATGGAAAGAACATTGCCTCATTCCTTTTTCCAACCCTAATGCCTAGGAGAGTCCCTGGCACAAAGTTAAGATCCCAAGAAATTTGGCTGAATGAGTGGATTGCTCAGATTTCCAAATGGCACACGTTTCTTCCCCTGCAGAGGGCAGGAATGTATTTTTCCCCACGACTTTGTGGTGACTGAGTGACTCCCTATAACTGGACCGCGTGAGCACGGGCTTCAAAATCTGCGCAAGAATTAGTATGCATGGCCGTCATCGTTTCTAACATTGCCCTAAGGCTTTCATCAGGTGGTTAATCTTTCATAGGAACGGCTTTGAAAGCGATGAGCCAAAGTCTCAGCTTCATTGGAAGTAATTTTACTTTTCACTGGCAGTTGGAAGCCAGGCGACTGGAGCGTGTGCAGCAAGCCATGTGCGGGGGGCCAGCAGAGCCGGAAAATCCAGTGTGTGCAGAAGAAGCCGTTCCAGAAGGAGGCGGCGGTGGTGCACTCCCTCTGCCCAGTGAGCACACCCACTCAGGTCCAGGTCTGCAACAGCCACGCCTGCCCGCCAGAGTGGAGCCTCGGGCCCTGGTCTCAGGTAACTGGGTCAGACTTAGAGCCGTTGGTCTTGTTCCCCATGGAAAACGAAGGTGACAAAAACACAGGTGGTACCTTTGCTTCCCAAGAGACTCTCAGGTGTTTACACCTTCAAGAGAACCACACTGACTTAATGCAACGGGGCATTTTAATGAACGTTTTCAGTGATATTTTTATGCAACCTGCAGTTTGGGACCCTTAGACGTCCAGAAATTAGAGGACGTTTAGGCTAGACTAGTGAGCACAGCTAGACAGGATTCGAGTGTCAGAGGAATGGCCGGTGAATCTGGCTACTGAATTCCCCAAAGCAAATGGGAAAGACAAATACAGAGAGAGCGGCCTACAGGGATATCTAACTCTTGCATCAGTGGCCTACAAAGAGGAGTTGTGCCTAACGTTTGCTATTGTCACAAATTCCCAGTGAGAGATACAAGGTTATAAAGTTGGAGGAAGCATAGAACTACCTGTCATCCACACAGAAGTTCTCAACTGGGGCCCTGATGTTAATAACAGGAGACATTTTCTATTGTCACAATGGGGAGGGGGCATGGGTACTACAGGTGAGATACACATCCCATAGTGGGAGGGACAGCTCCCCAAATGGTGCTGAGGGGGAGAACTCTGCTCTGTAACAGCCCAGCCTCTGCTAAACCACAGCTGGCAAGACAGTTTTAAGCAATAATAAAAAAAATCCAGAGGTTTTCTTGCCTGAACTAGGAAGCCAGGTAGCAGCCCACATTCCTGCCATGCTCTCTCTTAGGACACACAATATCGCAGAGGGTGTTGATTTCGGATCAAGTTTAACAGTGCACTACCCTGTCCCCAACAGAGGTCAGAATGAGGTTTTGTGTATTTAATGAGAAGACATGATGGAAAATGTTTTCTAATGTTGGGAGTATATCTCTTAGGGGGAGAATGTGTGAGCATGCATAGATGTACTTTTAAAATGAGGGTATAGTTCATCTATCGCTTAGGGCAAGTCTAAGTAGTATGTGGTGCTACTGGTCTCTCTCTCTCTGCCATTAGCAGTTATAATTTACAAAAGGAGAATCCAGTAGGGCTGTTTCAGCGCAGTATGTAGGGTGGGCATGGATAAAGGACATGGAGTTCTTCACGAAAAGGAGCCTTAGTTCATGGAGTTTGCCCCAAATTTCACACGGAAATATTTTGGGAGAGTATTTTATTTCTCTTTCCTGACTACTAAAACCAACTATGTCTGAGAACTTGAAAGTCATTTGAAACCAGCATGCCAACAGCATTTTTCTTTTCACCTCAAGTGTTCCAAGACCTGTGGGCGCGGGGTGAGGAAGCGGGCAGTGCTGTGCAAAAGTGCCTCCAGGGCCGAGGGCCTCCCCGAGAGCCTGTGCGCCGGCGTCCCCAGACCAGAGTCGCAGGAGGGCTGTGTCCTGGGGCGATGCCCCAAAAACACCCGGCTACAGTGGGCCGTCTCCTCGTGGAGCGAGGTAGGACTTTCTATCACTGTTGCGTCTGGGTTTGGTTTGTTTTAATGCTCAGCTTATCCACCAGCATCCGGATGCTCAAAGCTTCTTTCTGTTCAACACACATATACCAGGTACCTTCTAATTATTCATTCTTCCCGTCTGATTTCTTCATCAGATGTTGCTAAAGCACCCATCATGGTGTTGGGGCAGTGGAGGTTCAAAACCCCATAAAGTGTTGGAATGGAAACATGGCAACACTGGGGATACAAAGTGCTGTGACGGGGGTTGGCCCTCCCGTGGGACAGCCTTGCTCCGCTCAGCCCAACATCAGGAGGAATCCTTGTCAGCGGTGTTGGGGCAGTGGAGGTTCAAAACCCCATAAATGTTGGAATGGAAACATGGCAACACTGGGGATGCAAAGTGCTGTGATGGGGGTTGGCCCTCCCGTGGGACAGCCTCGCTCCGCTCAGCCCAACATCAGGAGGAATCCTTGTCAGAAGAGAGTTTGCAGGGAGTGTGAGCCTGAAAGATGGGCGGGGGAGGAGGCTGCTCCACGCAGAGGGGTTCCCAGAACACACTTGGCAAGGATGGAGCCGTGTGTGCTGGAGCTGCAGACATCAGGGATTGAGGGCCTCGGGGAACAGACTGAAAATCTACCCTTTAAACATTGGGGGCCAATTAAAATGTTAAAGAAGAAGAACAAGCAGGTTTTCATTTCAGAGAGAAGGGGAATCGATGCAAATGGGCAGAGGCCAGAAAGGCACTTGCATGGGCATCAGCGTAATAAAGACAAAAGGGGAACGTGTTTCAGGGAGAGAGAAGTGGTACCTTTGAGAGTTCCTAGAGAGGCCACTGGTCCCTTCAGGAGTACGTGGGCAAGACGAAGATGCCTCCTCGGCTTGGGCACCTCAGTGGAGTTCACAGACACAGGAATCCTGAGGGAAGGAGCCAAGCCAGACAGAGTTTGCCTAGGACAGTGGT